ACTTACTTTTCGATTCCTTGTTTACTGTATAGGTGTTACTAGACCGACCGCCAATACAGCCAAATGACTATAAGACGTAAACTTAGCAGCTTCTTAAAACAATAAGGTTGAATAATATACGTTAATTTATTAGTATATTTGAACCATTTATTTGTCAGAAATCCTATATGCGTTACAATCAAAGACTATGATTACTTACTGTATTATATATAAATTTTATTGTCTCTTTCAATTTCACTTAGTTTCTGTGGCTTATGTTTGCTTTTTTGGTTCCAGTAAATATAAACAAAAATTTTTCATTCTGTTTCCATCAATTGGATTCAAAACTATATAATTTCATACAATTCTTTAATTTACGCAACGATATTTATAAGCTTAGAGTTGAGCAAATAATTAAATTAATCAATAGGTCCAGTTAATTATAAGATACACAATCCAAAATTATAAGAAATGTTGAATCAAAGAAACTTTCTAGCTAATTTATTAAATAATACATCTTCTAAATCCCATATCTAATTCCAGAACCATTTATATTAGTAATTGTGCAACTGCCTTAAGATTGTGTTTACTGAAATTACAATATTTATTTATAGACAAGTATATTATATTTTATTAATGTTATCATAGGTTTATTTCTAATGAGAAAGCAACATTAAATTCTCAATTAATTTTAGCTAAATATGACATAAAGCGATCCACTCGTAAATATTCCAGCACGTGTTGTTATACGTATATGTCTTTTTTGCTTGGTCAATTACTATTTACTTAATAGTATCTGTGACCACTTGAATGAACCACTGTAATAGGAGATTTGTTGAATTATAAACGTTTATGTATAAAATCAAATAAAAATTATATATGTGAAGTTGATTTGCTGTTTGAGCTGCTTGAAAATTTAAAAACCACTTTAAGATTTTCAAAAATTTTAAGAGTTCGCTACAAATTCATATGCGAGTACACTCGAATCTTATATCTACTACTTTCAAAAAATCTATATAGTACGTATAGTAGTTTACGTAAAATTTCGAAGTTGTGGATATAGTCCGTAGAGTTCAGAGTTTTAAAACGTTGTTACTTAACTATTAAGACTTACAACCAGAGTGGTGTTAACACATATACGACCTTAATGAGCCTATAAACTCTTCCAAAAACTTCCACCGATACATATTCATGCTATAAGTTTAGATATGATTTCCTATTTGAGTGGAGCGACATCTAACTAACACTTTTGCTTTTATTTGGGCCAGTACATTCTATTGAAAAATACAACGTATATCGAATAAAAGTTATAAATGCAGTCAGTAATTTTGGGTTCTAACCTTACGATACTCTCATTAAATATGATGCCAACTTCTATTAATCAGAACAGTCGAAGTAGTACCCCTTAACACTAAGTCAAACTTACTCACTACCATTTATATTGCAAAGAAAGGTATACTACATTTTAATCGAGAGATATACTACGACATTTTATTTTTTATTATATATTATATATATATTATTTATTATAGAATATTTTATTATATACGTAAGAATAATTTTACAAAAAAATTCTGTGGGTTATCTCTTGTAAACATTTTGTTTATATTGCGGAAGCTCAATTTGAAATTAAATTTTACTTTTCCTCTTATAGGTTGCATGGTCGTGTTATCTGTACACCTTTTATCTACATATTTAAGTTTAACAGAAAATAAATATAAACAATTATTGTAGTATACCAACCTTTATTATGAACATTATAAAATGAAAGATAGATTATTTGATTATCTAATCCTATGACCTAAGGGAAAGGTCATCAGTTTTTGGTCGTTAAAGTCAATAATTATGAGGCGATAATAGAGTGGTGTATTTAAACTACAAAAAATTAAAGGAACATGTATTAAAAATATACAAATTATATTTTTTTGGTGAATCTTTGTTATATATCATTTTAACCAATCCTATCATTAATCCTATCCTTGCATCTAAATTGTAAGAACAATTTACATGTTCTTTTACAATTTATATAAATATATTTAATGATAATAGAAATGATTTTTTTAATTGAATTATTTATATATGAATATAATTATATATATAAATCAAAGTTTTTATAATTAAATATTTTTAATATATTTTTTCTTTTACAGATTCCCATAAGCATCCGAGTACAATCATTTGTGCAAAAACTCGGATTGATTGATAATAATTCCAATAAAGCTAAATATATTTAAATTCCTGATACTCGACTAATTTCCGTTTTTTAAAACTGAATATTTAATAACAACAACTACAAAAAATGGGGAACGTTTTCGCAAATCTGTTTAAGGGACTCTTCGGTAAAAAGGAAATGAGAATATTAATGGTCGGTTTAGATGCCGCTGGTAAAACCACAATTTTGTACAAACTCAAATTAGGTGAAATTGTTACAACGATACCTACCATTGGTAAGTTGATCTATTACAAGCATTAAAAAATATATATATATTAATGAATTAATTTTAATAATGTATTATTTATAAATGTTTATAGGTTTCAATGTCGAGACTGTAGAATACAAGAATATTAGCTTTACAGTGTGGGATGTGGGCGGTCAAGACAAAATTCGTCCATTATGGAGACATTACTTCCAAAATACACAAGTAATTATAATTTTCGATTAAAATATATAAAATTATAAAAGAATATTTAAGAGTATTAAAAAAATTTAATGATGATACCGACTTTAAATGAATTTACTTTGATTATACAAGTTTTTCATTGTTTCAAGACGGGGCTGATTTTAATAAACTATAAATTTTATATTATTTTGTATTTTATTGAATCTATTAACATAGTTAAAATTATAATAAAAATTATAATAATTTTACTTTCAAAACAGGGTCTAATATTTGTCGTTGATAGCAATGACAGAGAGCGTATCGGTGAAGCGAGGGAAGAATTGATGCGTATGTTAGCTGAAGATGAACTCAGAGATGCTGTTTTACTCATTTTTGCTAACAAACAGGTTAGTAAATTCTTTTTTTATTAAAATTTTATATAAAACAAATATTTATACACATATACATGCATGTAATTTTAGCGTTTCTTCATATTTTTTAATTATAAACTTGGTTAATCATAACTGTTTTTATTTTCAATATAAGAGATAGTGTTTTTTTATTTCTGTACATTATGCAAAATGCTTTTATCAAATAATATCAGTCATAGGTAGCATATCTACGTGTTCTCGTTGAGATAAATAATTTTGTTCAGATAAGAATATTCTACGTTGAAAAAAATATATAATGTAAATTTATTGTTGAAGATCTAAAGATAAATTTATGATATTCTTATTATTTACTTTTGGCGATAAAATATTTTTCTCATATATAGTGATGCTATAAACGTGCTGATAAAAAGTGTACATGTGCTTTACAGAATCTTTTTAATTTCGTTTAAAAATAACTTAGTACATTCGTAATTTGTCTCTTCGCCACGTTAGGGTTGTGCAAAATTTTTAAGTAAAAAAGGATGGTACTCATTACAATAAAAAAAAAAATGATTTTAAAATAAAAATAAAATCAATTTACGGTCTGAAACGATGAATAAATCCAATATGTAGACAATTCTGTTTAAATGTTATTGTATGTAGCGGAGATCTATTGAATAGCTATTATGAAAGGAACTACAAATTCGTATACATAGGTTAGCATATGGTTAGGTAAAGCAAGTCTAAAAGAGGAGGAGATTCTTTAGGAACTATAGGGTTCCAGAGACAGTTGGATTGGTGCCACTTGTTAATTTCGATGTCTCGATGTGAAGTTCACTATACCTAAAAGGAACTATACCATTGGGTATTTCTGTTAGAATCATACAACAAAGAGCCTATTTGTTGATTTTAATATCAATAATAATATGATTCTTTCTATATTAGAAGTAAAGTAAACATACTATCAGAGAACAATTCTAAGACTTCACACATCCTTACCCCAAAAACATTCATCCACATCTCAACCCATGTCTTCCTCCTGTAATCCTTGCTTGCAGATTTCGGCGGATTACAACAAGAACAACAAGTTTTAGTTGTCACTTTCCATTCAGTAGATACAATGTTAAAATAGAAATTCGCTCTTAAAATATTTTAGAAATTTGTCGAGTTCTTCTGGAGCTGTGAAAAGTAGAGTCTATCTGATGTTGGTATTAAAAACATTTTGTGTTTTATTTGTGCCTCAAAATGATTTTATAATTAACTTACAGTTAATGTTCAGTGTTAGTAGTGGCATCACAATGATTCTTGGGGTTTGACCTAGTTAGTATATTTTGTTGACTGCTAAAGTCACGTAACTCAGTTGTAACATTCAATTCAAATATCAGAAAAATATAAATAGGACTTGGCATTTACTATTTAATAAAAATATAATAATTAATTGATTATTTATCAACAGTTTAAGTGTCACGATATTGAAGAAAACTTAAACTACACAAAAACATTGTACGTTAACCAATAATCGTTAAATCTTATCAAGAAAAGTAAATCCAGATTATATGCACCACAAAATATATCAAGAAAAAAATGTATATATATACAATAATATATATGATATTGTATATATATATAAACACGTGTACACATGTAATTATATAGTTTGACTGAAATCAAACAACGTGACTAGTGTGATGATTCATCTATAAATTCTGTATTTCATTTGTTTATTTTATTTTATTTTTAATTATTTTTTTTATAATAAATAATTATTTATTTATAATAATTGTTTATTGTTATTATAACTATTGTTGTTTATTTTTATTATTGTTGTTTATTTTTTATATTATTTTCAATATTATTATTGTTGTCAATATTATTTTGTTAATTTAATTTTTTTTAATATTATCGTTTTACTATTTTTTTTGTTTGTAATTATTTATTTTTAATATTTTTTTATTTTTGTTTTTATTTAGTTTTAATATTTTTTTATTTTTGTTATTATTTAGTTTTAATATTTTTTTATTTTTGTTTTTATTTAGTTTTAATAGTTTTTTATTTTTGTTATTATTTAGTTTTGATATTATTATTTATTTTTGATATTATTATTTATTTTTATAATTATTTAATATATTTTTATAATTATTATTTTTATTATTATTCATTATTAATTTTATAATTATTTGCTTTTATTAAAAGTAAAGAATTTAAAATATAGTTGTTAAATGTGTAAGCAAAACAGGGCTTGACTTCGGGCCTTAGATAATTTTAGCAAAAATATATATAGTGAATAAGGATTTTATAAAGAAAGAAAATAAGAAAGGAAAATTTATTTTAAAACTTTGAACTAAAGAATTTAAAAAAATTGTAAAACGTATTGTTGTTGTGCTAAACTTTTCTTTAAAAGTATATAATTGAAAACTAGATATCTTGCCACGAATTTTGTGGTCCATTCCTCATCTTAGTTATGACCATCTCTATTTTTGTTGGGCCATTTAGACTTCTACTAAAGTAAAATCAAGGAACGTAAAACCATGTTATATAATCATTTTCACTAGCTATTTGAGGATTTGTTGTAATTTGGTGTTCATAATAGAAGTCTTATATTAACTTTGAGGTAGCATAGAATATTAAAAAAGAAAATACAACTTTCATTAACATTTTATTAGTTTTGATCGTCTATTAATCAAAGACTATACTAATCTTAATTGAATGAGTAATATGGATTATCGTTTAGTTTTTATTCAGTTTATGTTGTTTAAATATATATATATATATATATATGTATATAATATGTATCTGAAATTTTTCCTTCATTTTTAATGACTTACGCAACCCAAATGTTTTAATTATGCTGATTAACCCCAATTTCGGATTTATGTTCAAATTGAAGTAATTTTATTATGTTGTATAGAGTAAAGAATATTCAAGATCCTTAGAAGCATCTTGCAACAATAATCATATCATAAGTTCGAAACGACCTACGGAGAATTTTCGGTTTAATGGATGTCCGATTTAACACATTTTCTAAATAACAAACAACAAAATACTTGTGAATAATACACATACACACATCAAATATATTCTCTCTAATGTCGTTCTCTATTCGTAAATCTGGCGTAATCTCCTTTTCAATCGAAATTCACTTTTAGCGCAATTTGCATTCTCGATTGAATCTTTTTACATTTTTGAGCGAAGTCACTCTAGATATTTTGCCAGAGTAGCAAGAGTAGAATTATTAGCTAGCAGCTGTTGACTGTATGACTAATAAATAAAGTGTGATTTGATTCTAAATATGTATTTATGAGAAAATTGCTCTAAAAATGTTCGATTGGGCAACAAAATTTGACAGATCGAGAGAATAAATCTAGATTGAATCCAGATTTACCAATCGAAAACGCCATATGTAAGACTAAAGCGATAAAAACTATTCCATCATGGGAATTAGACGATATACTGAAACTAGAACTACTAAAACTACTACTGTAAACTTACTTAGTTATAAAAAGTAAAGACCCAAAGGTCCATTAAAACGTTATATAGAATATGTTTTCTTTCTGTAATTAGTTTAAATGAATATAGTCACTAACAAGCTTAACAATATTCCAATCTCGTAAAAATCACAATAGAAATAGTATCTATATGACTGAATCTATACATAGCGGCTACGCGCGAATTTGACAGATCGCGTGTAAATGTGTCATGAATCCAGATTTATTAATCAAAAACGCCATTAGTGAGATAGTTTCGAATTATTTATATTAGTACCAGAGGAAAATTGAAACTGATAACTTTGAGGATTAGCTCATCATGTCACACTCAATTAATTTATTATAAACTATTTTTTAATTGTTTATACATATTTATTATTAACGAATTAATAATTAATTATTTTTTTAGGATCTGCCAAATGCTATGAATGCGGCTGAAATTACTGATAAACTTGGTCTACATTCGCTAAGAAATCGCAACTGGTATATTCAAGCGACGTGTGCAACTAGCGGCGATGGTCTCTACGAAGGTCTGGACTGGTTATCCAATCAACTTAAGAACGCCAACCGTTAAGAAAAATGAACTTTTGATTTTAAATATAAAGTAAATTTAATGAAATTTTCAATAAAATGAAACAACAAATAAACCACAAACACAAAAGTACATTTAAATTCAATTTCGGTTTTGAGAGAATTAAGAGAAAAAAAATACAAAAACAACATATGAAAATCGTCGCTCTAAAAACAACAACAACAAAATTTCAAATAAATTATAATATAAATTTATTAAAATCATAAATAATAATACCGCTGATACAAGAAAAGGAAATTTTTAAACTTATATATAATATATATTGTATGTTAAAGTAAAAAAGGTAAAAATGCTATAATTATCGATCCAAGTTTTTCTAAGTATATATATATTTTATCTCTTTATTTTAATATTTGTAATTTCTACATAAAAATATATTTTTACTTTTTCGTTTATAAGAACAAGAACAACAACAACAAACCTAAATAATGTAACAAACGAGAGAATATAAAACAAAAATTCGAAATTTTTGATAACAGACAGTAAATATAATAATATATTCTAAACAACAAAAGAAAAAACAAAAATAGCCTATAATCAAGCGGACATTATAGGATTATTATATATAGTAAAGTATATGTATCTTAATGCTAAATTAGTAAGGAAGGTTAATTTCTTTAAAATACATTTAATTAAATATTCGATGTTGTCTTACTTAACGTACTACATTATTTGCTATATTTCATTCAATATATTTTATCTTAATTTGCTGTTCGCCTGGGTAATTGTACTTTTTGTGCATAAACATTTAAAAACAAAAAAGAACTTATAATTAATTTAATGGTTTTAATTTGAATTATTTAACTTCATACGTGTTTAAGCAGTTTATATATAAAAAGAAATTCCTCTTATATAAAATAAAGTAAAATATAAAAGTAAAAAACTCATTTAATATTAATTTCAATATATAAAACAAAAAGGCACCGCAATTTATAGCATATGATGATGTAATATATTTAAAAAAAATCATGTAAAAAAAGAAAATTGCATAAAATTAATAAAAAATTGCGTAAAAAATTGAAAAATTTACGTAAGATTATTTGCTTTCTTAAGATGTCAATATCAGTCCAATAAATACATAATATACAGTGCTCCTTGGCATACTTGAAAGCTGGCTAACATAAACGCTGAAAAAACTGACTTAGATGAACGCTGAATCACGTAAAAACTGACTTACATGAACGCTGAATCACGTGAAAACTGACTTGCATGAACGCTGAATTACAAGAAGCCTAGCTTACATAGTCGCTGAATTACGTAGAGACATGAGCGCTAAATTACTTGAGAACTGATTTACATTAACGCTGAATTACGAGTAGTGTAGCTACATAAACTTTGGATTACGTAAAAACTGACTTACATGAAGCTGAATTACAAGAAGCCTAGATTACATAGTCGCTGAATTACGTAGAGACAGACTAACATGAACGCTAAATTACGTGAAGACTAGTTTACATGAACGCTGAATTACGAAAAGACTGACTTACATGAATGCTAAATTACGTGAAGACTAGTTTACATGAACGCTGAATTACGAAAAGACTGACTACATGAACGCTTTCTAGCTTACATTAACGCTGAATTCCGTGCGGACTAGCTGACATGAACGCTGAATTACGTAAAAACCAAATTACATGAACACTGGATTACGTGAAGACTAGCTTACATGAGCGCTGAATTACGTAAAAATTAACTACATGACCGCTGAATGACGTGAAGTCTAGCTTACAAGAACGGTGAATTATGTGATGATTTTTTTCATTCACATTCACAGTTCTAAGAAGTGAACAATCCTTTAAACCATAAACAAAATTGTTGACCCAAATTAGATCAAGTTTTCGAGTAAGCACTGTACGTAATATTTTAGTTTTATAAAAAATTCATGTAGAAGAATTCATATTGCGCTCATTATTCAGACTGCATGATGAAGTGGCATGATGAATGGCTTTTTAGAGCGTAGATTGGGTTGTAGAGATCGCTTTGTATAGCAAAGCTCACCTGAGCAACAAAATAATGGACTTTTTTAAAAAAAATTAAAAGGATTCTTGTGTGTCAAAAAAATTCATGTGATGGTTATGATGGTAGGCCGACCCAATCAATCGTAGTGGTTAAAAACCAAATTGACTCATATATTTTTTCTTATAAAAAACTTCAACACGATTCTTTTAATAGTAATCATTTTATTAGAAAAGTCGAATTATCTTATATAAGCAGGACTTTATAAAAATAGATAGTTGAGGGAGCTATATATTGGCAATTATAAAAGTTATTAATATAGACCTTTTAGTGATTTGCTGATAAAATTTCATAGCATTTTAAAAAATACTTATTGAAAGTAGGTATATATTTAGTGCCAATAAATGTCAATTCCGTGGTGACCACTCCTCGTATTCAATAATAGTGCATCTATCTTATCTCTACATCAGTTTTA